GTCAAAACGTCTGTTTCACTCCACAATCCTACTTACAGAAGAATGATATGCTCCATTTTTGTTGTGCTTTTTTATTCTAAATGTTACTACATAGCTTTTCGTGATCATATTTCCAATCCTTATTTTCATGCATTTTTCCAAATTTTGGCCAAATTCTACAAACAATTTGAAAATTCTTTTCCTGCTCTACAGAACTAGTTTAATCTTTTCTTCAAAGTTTTGGATTGTCTTTTGAACTGAAAAGTTAAATGTTAAGTCGGCAAACAGCACTTAAGACACCTATTAAAGTTCGCCTTTGAAACGTGGCCAAATAACTTACGAGCTGGCTCATATTTGTTTGGCTTATGGAGGAGAAGTGCGTGCAGTAATACTATTAGAAATTGATTCACTAACTTGCCTTTACACTCCACGCACCGTAGGCCATCCGAATTTGAAGGAGACCATTCGAAAGGCGTTCATCAACTTTTGTCTCTCCAACTTCCAGAGAACTCCTGTCTTATCCGACCAACTAACCATAGGCAACCTTTGATAGAAGAAGTCTCTCAATGATTGACTGAAAGACGTTTCCGGAAGGAGACCTTACGTTTCTGGTTTGCTTTATTTTTAGAAAAAATGGGAGGAGGTCCTAAGCAGTAGCGACTACTGCAGTTTGACTTTTTGTTGCAAAAGTTCGAAGGAGCCGGGGATTAGATGTAAATGATGTTGTAGAGTAAAGAAAAAGCTTCTAAACAATACTCAACATTTGCTCAAAGGGAAAAGCGGAGAAATAAGAGTTTGAAGAAAAAAAATGCGAAAAATTATTTAACAATCAATACAACAACACAGTACTAGACAGCTTCCAATACCTTTCTTAGACAAGCTGGTGTATCAAATTTATAAATGAAAGGTGTGGAAAAAAAAGAGTAAGTCGTTTCCTTACTTCCCAGCTTTTTATCTCATTTAAATAAAGATTGATTACCAGTCTGACTATATCCACGTTTCATGGGACTCATAACTGTGGGCAAGTTGTCTCCGGGGTTTTGGTTGTAGCAAACAAACTTGTACACGAAGCTGCTCTAAGAGATTGTTATTTTCATCTAAACATCATTTTTGACCTATCGTGACGGATTTCGACAGACGTGATTTCCAAGCTGTTTGA